CTCTCCATTGGAAATGAATGACCGGTCTGTCGCTTGTTGTTTGTCGGAGATAGTGGAAAGCCGGCTGGAAACGCAGTGGAAACGCCTGTACGACAAGGATCGTTTTCATTTTAAAACGTAAACGCACCAGTGTAAATGTAGCCTTACATCTATGGGGGCTGGGACGATCGAAATTTGGTACCGAACGACGAGACGTTTTTCAATACTCGATGGTATCGAGGCAATTCGGTCGGTGCCTAAAAAGTATCGAACTCGATACCCAGCCCTATTTATTACTGGCTTTAGCTGATTGTGAAATCTTTGTCCAGATCAAAACAGCCATGACGGCAGTGCGAAAGAAATCAACCTGACAGCTAATCGAGAGAATTTCACTCAAATGTAGTGATTTCAGGCAACATGAGTAAATGTGGCCAACATAATGAAAACTTCATGTAAATGAGCAGCAATTCGATGCATCAACCACCAATAAGAGTGAAGCCACAGGAGCTCACATGATCAGAGTCAAGCAAGGCTGCAGATGGCAGTGGTGTGGCAGTCAGAGCCTCAGAAGTGACAACGAGGTGTCAAAATCCCAGACACGCCGCTGGGCTTTCGGAGGAATATGAGTGTTATATGTCTCTCAGACGCTGGCCAGACTCGCTCATAGCCAGACGCTGAGGGGAGGCGCTCAAAATACCCTGCATTCAGGAGATGGTTGCTGCTGGTGTTCAGAGGGCTGGTCTGCGTGTCACATGCCTGTGTGCATGTGGAATGAAAGTCATGTGGGAGCTGAAGCGCTGACCTCAGGTGAACAGGTCGGTGCAGTGGTCAACACTGCACTCAGCTTACAGACACAGAGTCCAGTCGACAGGAGCTGAACAAGCAACTATTCACATTTATCCTTATAGAGTAACAGAACGGTGACACTTTCACTCTATATTTTGATTGTTTTGAAACAACATCACAATAAACTGCTATTAACTGGAAGGCAAATGAGTCTATAGCCACATGGACATCTAGTCAAAGGTCAAAAGGCCACATTAAAGAATGACAATATGACATTTGTTTTGTGATAAAATGAACAGATCAAAATTTGCGACCTTGTATATTAAAAGTAACAAAGGCCAAAGCTTATTGTAAATATTTGATGGTAGGCATGCTACAAATAATGTTCATTGATACTTTGTTATTAAAATTAAGAAATCGATATTGCCAGCCCTAGCATCCATACAGCTGACGTTTACCTATTGTAGTTTATCCACGTTGAAATAGAAACGGACTCTTTGGGGGTGTCAGAAATTAACCCCATATTGGCAAGAGATTAAAAGGAATCTGGAAGCTGTTTTTGAAGTAGAGATTGTTTTTAATTGTGAATCTCTATATTTGGGTAATATAAATTTAGATGGGTGGAACAATAAGCATAAGAAATTGTTGTTAATTCTTCTGGTGGCTAGTAAAAAAGTAATTACAAAAAAATGGCTAAAGCCAGAGACACCCACAGTTGAAGAGTGGATTGATACAATGCACATTATATATATGTGATGGAAAAACTATCTTTTTCATTAAGAACTCAGATAGAAGATTTTTTTCTAATTTGGAATAAATGGATAGATTATATTAAACTGGTACGCACAGATTTTTCTTGAATTGTAACAGTTCTTTTAAGGTATCTTTTTGTATGAGTTGTAAGCAATAGCTCCCCATGTTCTTTTGTATATAGTTGTTGTTAAGAGGAAGAAAATATAATGCGTATGTAACATTTGAGAAATTTGTTTTCAATATTGAGGGCATACATACTCTCCATAGTAACATTAAGGTGTATGTATGTGTTTTCATTTATTTTTTAATTTTTTTATTTCTTTCTGAGAAATTATGTATGTCCTGATCTCTGTATGTATTTTCCCTCTGAAAAGAAAAAAAAAAAAAGGAAAAAAAATTAAATAAATAGAAAAAGACTCGCACCATCGGAAAAGTGCTAATTAAACATCACCGTTTTGCTGTTTGTTTCACTGTCAACTAGTGTTGTCAAAAGACCCGGTATTTCGGTACCAAGTCGGTACTAAAAAAAATGAAAACGTTACAGTACCAGGTTTTCTTAAGTACCGGTGGTACCGAGTACCCGGTCAACCCGGTTCTTGATGCGCTATCAGAAAGCTATCCTCTTCCAGTGTTGCCAAATCCGCATTGTGAAAAACTTGAAACACTTTTAAATAAGTATAAAGAATGGCATTGGTTTTGTACATTGAATTTTTGTTTAACGTTATTAATAAAAATGTTGTCAATTAGCATGTTTTTGTGTTTTGCTTTGGTACAGAAAATTGGTACCGAGAACCGTGGATTTTCACTGGTATTGGTACCGAATACTGAAATGTTGGTACCATGACAACACTACTGTCAACTATTCACAGTAGTCCTAATAAAGAAACATGATGAAGACACTTTTTGTTTTTGTTCGAAAAAAACAATAAGCTATTAATTGGAAAGGCAATTGAATCAATAGCCTCCTAGACATCTAGTCAAATCTCAAAACTGTTGTTTTAGGTGCATATCATAAAAAACATATTCCTTCCTATTCCACATCTGAAATTTATAACATTCCACACAGACAATTTTAATGGAAAACAAACAGCTGAAATGGTCAGACAGTCAAAATTACTATGAAAAATTAAATTATTATGATATGCTATCAAAATGAAATAATGTTTTCAACATACTTTACTTTGTAAAGGGACTTATTTTCAAAATGCAATAGAGTAATAGGAAAAAAAATAGAGTGGGACTTAATTTTATCCTTATGAAATTGATTGGATCATAAAAAGTGACAGGTGGTTTGAGGGGAGGAGTATAAAAACAAAAGGACAATCATTTTAAAGGCAAACCAGTTATGTTTAAAAATTGCATTTTGTATTTGGAAAAATGTGCACGGACAATTGTGCACAGTAAGACCAGAAACATGTGTTAAGAAAGTACATGGGGTCAGTTTCAATTTTCTGTTGACTTCTTTTCAGTCGATAAGATATATTTAACACAAAACTCCAAATATGGAACCAAAAACACAAATTCTTCCTAATCACACCATGAAAACTCCAGCGCAGCCATGCGAGTGCATTCACATAAGAGAGATGTAAGATAAGAGGAACAGCGGTCTTGGCCAAAACGTGTCACAGTTTATCACTGAACATATGGTGTGAGCGCTGACTACCACTCAAACAGCTTTAACTGGACAGCAGGAATGTAGATGGAGCGCATCAACTCAAGCACGCTGCTGCAGGGGAAAAACATGCGTTTATATTCTAACAGTGAATAATAAGCACTTGAGAGAGTAAAATCACTCAGCAAAACTTGTGTGATACTGTAAAGCATCCAGCATGAGGGACAGAATGACAGGAAACTCACAGCCTGGCCCACAAATAGGCAACTTCCTGCATAAATGACAACAATGGAAGGCCCGTCCCTTTGTCAATCCGGTCTACTCAGCACCTAAAGTTTAGCTTTGGGTTTTACTATGGATGAGGTTATGTAACTATTCATTTCAAGCTTGAGTAAATCTGTCCAAAACTGGACAACGCACTTAAACATGGGTAAAAATGGAACTTTGTCTATTTTCCCTTCTTTGGAAGGGAGTTGCCCACAGTATCGTACCCCTTTTAAATTGTCCAAAACAAATCTCTCACGGCCGAGGTGGCTAAACCTGTAATTACAGTCCTTATTTGAGTTCCAAGAGTGCATAATGTACGGTGCATGGACCTCTGCTGAGCTCCACAGCAGCAGCCTGCAATTAGTAAGACCAGAATAAATCAATTCCACTGGAGCCACATCTGAGAGCCCAGGCGCCTCCGAACGTTATCCCTGGAAGTGTGCACTCCGTGTATAGAACGCAATGGCAACTTAGCAAGCAAAGGCAGCACTGAAATGTCCTCTGTGATTGTTGAAATCAGAACAATTTAGTCCCTTCCTGCGTTCCCAAAAGAATTCACATTGCCACAGACCGGCACACACAAATCATTTCCATGCAATTTGCTCCAAATGTCATGCAGCAGAAATAAAATTTAAAAAAAAAGGGAGAAGGACATGTAAAACCAGGCCGGTTCGTGAGCAGAATGGTCTCACCTGTGGACATAGTGGAGCTTATGCACAGAATCGATTGCTAGAACCATCTCAGCCAGGTAGAATCGAGCCATGTCTTCTGGTAAACGGTCCTCAAACTTGCTGAGAAGAGTCAAGAGGTCACCACCCACGTAGTAGTCCATCACCAGGTACTGCAGAAGACAGACATGTCAGAACTAAATAGTGTAAAAGCAGACAGACACCAGATACAACAGAAATGTGCAGGCCCAGAATTGTACACTGAAAGTTAGAGCCGCCGATAGAGAGAACGATGGAATGATATCGAGCTAGACAGAACGATAGATAAAATGACAGATAGACAGGAGGATAGACAGAACGATAGAAAGAAGAATAGAATGATAGAACGACAGAACAATAGACACAGACAGACAGACAGATAGATAAGATAGATATAAAATGACAGACAGACAGACAGATAGATATAAAATGACAGACAGACAGACAGACAGACATGAAACGACACACAGAGATAGATAGATATAAAACGATAGACAGACAGACAGACAGATAGATAGAACATCGGACGGACGGACAGACAGACAGACAGATAGATAGAAGGCAAAAGCCTACCAGGAAGTTGTCATCCTGAAAGGCGTAGTGCAGTCTGGTGATCCACTGACAGTCTCCATTTACCAGCACGTCACGCTCCTCCCGGAAACATGCTGTCTGGAAATAAGGCGACAAATTTGTTCACAAAACACTCAAAACTAAGCTTTCCTCACCAAACTAATTCATTTAGAGATGGAAAGACTCAAGAGTGTTTGTACCTCTGCTCTTTTCAGCATCTCCCACTTGTTGAGGATCTTCATGTCAAACACCTTGTCTGAACTTTTCACCTTTACAACTGCTACCTGTAACGCACCAGAAAACACACAGAGATCTGACACCCGGCTCCTCCATTAAATAAGCACGAGGGGATTTCTAGAGGTCCTGATACGATTATAAGCCACTTTGTGTTGCTTTTGTTCCATCTAGATTTCCAGATCACACATGGAAGTGGTTATCAGTGACAGTGGAGTAGAGCTGCACGATTCTGGATAGGAGATCGACCGATATATCGATTTACCGATATTTTTCCCGATATTTAAGCATTTTACAATAATCGGATATTGGTTTTGTAATATCGGATTCACCGATAAACGCCGCCATCTTGTGGATGTTTTGAGAATTGCACGCAGGATCACCATTGCAGCGCGTCTGAGGGGAAACAAGCCAACAACAACGGAGTGCACAGGTACTTAATTTACTGTAGTTAGTAAACTTTATTTAACATAACAGCCATTAATGCACAAATTAGATGTATTACATAAATGCCTGATATGCAGTTTGTGCAGCTTGGCTCGAAGAAATAGAGACGAA